TAAGACGAAACTGAGACGTATCAATCCGTCACCATCAGGAGAGAAATATCGACACAGACGAGAGTTTGAGATGCTGTAGAAGTTAAAAGCATGCACGCATAAGAGACCAAAATTAAACATTGTAGGCGTTCCTCATTAAAGGACTGTATTTCCAGTCCCACGATTCCTGCGCTGAACTGTAATTTCCAGCGTCATGTAGGAGAAAAAGCCGCTGTCATTTACTGTTATGAGACTTCCACAACTGGAATGAAAAGTTTTACTTCTCAATGATCCCTTACACGCGTACTGATCAACTGTTCATAAAAGAGATCTGAGAAGCTGCAGTCTTCATTTGCTCTCCATCTAATCTCATTAAGTCTAGGAAAAAAACTGATTAGTTTCTTATTTTGTGTGAGGAGTGTAGAAGCATCTGTGTCTGTTTTTCTTAACTCGTTGTACTTTATTCAGTCTTTTCATCATGTGCACTATCCTGACCAACTGTTGCTTCATGGCCATGTCTGAACCAGCGCAGTGGGCCAAATACGTCGAGTGAGTATCGTTCCCTTCTTCTTTCCCTTATTCCTGTCTCCTAAACCCCTCTCTCTCGCTCAGTGTATTGACCTCTGACCTCTGAAACGTGCCCTATTTGTTCTGATGTAAAGCTTTGCCAGGTGTTTGTTGACTTGTCTCAGTAATGATCAGACTGAGCCGGAGCCGTGACGTCGAGAACTGCACCTCATAAACTTCATCTATCTATCTAATGAATTTCTGTCCATCCATCCATCTTTTTATTCATCTTTCCATCTATCCATCTTTCTATCTTTCCAACCATTAATCCATCAATCCATCCATCTTTCTATCCATCCATCCATCTATCTTTCTATCCATCCATCCATCCATCCATCCATCTTTATATCTTTCCATCCATCTTTTTTTCTTTTCAACCATCCATCTTCCATTCATCCATCTTTCTATCCATCCATCCATCTTTCCATCCATCTTTCTATCTTTCCATCCATCTTTCCATCCATCTTTCCAATCCATCTTTTTTTCTTTTCAACCATCCATCTTCCATCCATCTTTCTATCCATCCATCCATCCATCTTTCTATCTATCCATATTTCTATCTTTCCATCCATCCATCTTTCCATCCATCCATCCATCCATCCATCTTTCCATCCATCTTTCTATCTTTCCATCCATCTTTTTCTTTTCAACCATCCATCCTCCATCCATCCATCCATCTTTCCATCCATCCATCCATCCATCTTTCTATCCATCCATCCATCTTTCTATCTATCCATCCATCCATCCATGCATCTTTCTATCCATCCATCCATCTCTCTATTTATCCATCCATCCATCTTTCTATCTATCTATCCATCCATCCATCCATCTTTCTATCTTTCCATCCATCCATCTTTCTATCTTTCCATCCATCTTTCTATCTTTCCAACCATCCATCCATCCATCCATTTTTCTATCTATCCATCCATCTTTCTATCTTTCCATCCATCCATCTTTCTATCCATGTTTCCATCCATCCATCCATCTTTCTTTCTTTTATCTATCCCTCCATCTTTCTATCCATCCATCAATTAGTTTTTGGATCTTTCCATGATTTGATAACCTGTAAGTGTATCATCTCTCTCTGGCTGTTGTTCAGCTCGTGTATGTCCGTGTTTCTCTGCTTGTCTGCTCATGTCTAGCTATCGGTCTAAGCATTGTCCGGTGTGTCTGTCCGTTGATCTGCTTGTCTGTCTCTCGGTTTGTGTGTCCATCATCTCCAGCTTCAGTAAAGGCCCCAGCAACGCCAGCAGAAGTCAGCCCATGCGTACGTACATCCCAGTGGATAGACCGGATTTATCCCATGTTTTCCAGTGCAGCTCATACAGTTTGAGATGAGTGTGACCTACAGTGTAAGTAACTGTAGGAAACGAGGCTTGTGCTTGTAGAGAAGCACGCAGTGAAGACCCCTCTCGTGACTCACAAACGAACCGAGCATCTGATCTCTTCATGTGAAGAGGTGTTAAAGCATGTGGAGCATGCAACAACAACACCTGTTTTTGAAGCCAGTGTACCAAGTCGTACCTCTCAGCACCCTTTGAAGAGATTTACATCAAATTTACAGTCACATGCAATGACCTCAGAAAGTATTGCAACGCTTTTGAACACTTTAATCACACTTGTACATTTGTGAATGTCTTTGCTATATACATAGGACCTGAAATTAAAGGAAAAGTTCATCATTTAATGTTTTAAAGTTATATCAGTTAGGCAAATAGTTTTATCTGTGGTTTTATCTCAAAATCTTTATCTAAAATTTTGGTGCAATAAATTTGGTGTTTAATGGCGGTAAAAATTATTAACGTGTGGTAAATTTCCCGGTAAAGTCAACGGCCATTGGCAGGTGTGGCAAAAAGTTAGTTTTAGGCCTTGGTTTTATAGCATTGTTATTTTAGTTATATATTATTATAGCATTTATTAATATTTGTGAATGTAGTCATTTTAATGCATTTCAATTTCTTTAGTTGCCAATGAATTATTTTTTTTCATATAATATTTTATTTCAGCTTTATTCCAATTAATCAGTGCTGTTTAAATGTCACTTAGATATTTGAATTTTTTAATTATATATTTTTTTAATTAGTAATTAATAGTTAACCATAACAAAACAGATATGTAAATGCTGAATAAATATCGCATTAATTGATATCTTGCTGTATAATCCAAAGACATTCATATATATATTTCAAGTGTAAGTAAAGTGTGTAAATACATTTTGCGGCCACTGCATGCATACAGGAGCATTCTGCATCTCACGGACAGGCCCAGATGGGAATCTACAGTCTCTTTAGGCATCTTCCACACTGAATCTGGAGAAAAATCTATGGAATTCTGGGTTTCACACAATATATAGTAAATCAAACTAAGAATGCTTCTCTTTTATTGGCAGCTGAAGCATGAAAATATTTTAGAGATGGGAAGCAGATGTGCAGAGCTTTCGTTCCAATTCTTCAGAACTCTGTAGAACTTTCTTCGCGATTCTGTAGAACTTTCTTCGGAACTCTGTAGAACTTTCTTCGGAACTCTGTAAAACTTTCTTCGGAACTCTGTAGAACTTTCTTCGGATCTCTGTAGAACTTTCTTCGAAACTCTGTAGAATTTTCTTCGGAACTCTGTAGAACTTTCTTCAGGATTCTGTGGAACTTTCTTCAGGTTTCTGTGGAACTTTCTTCGGAACTCTGTAGAACTTTCTTTGGAACTCTGTAGAACTTTCTTTGGGATTCTGTAGAACTTTCTTTGGAACTCTGTAGAACTTTTTTCAGGATTCTGTGGAACTTTCTTTGGAACTCTGTAGAACTTTCTTCAGGATTCTGTGGAACTTTCTTCGGATCTCTAAAACTTTCTTTGGATCTCTGTAGAACTTTCTTCGGAACTCTGTAGAACTTTCTTCAGATCTCTGTAGAACTTTCTTCGGAACTCTGTAGAACTTTCTTCGGATCTCTGTAGAACTTTCTTCGAAACTCTGTAGAATTTTCTTCGGATCTCTGTAGAACTTTCTTCGGAACTCTGTAGAACTTTCTTCAGGATTCTGTGGAACTTTCTTCAGGTTTCTGTGGAACTTTCTTCGGAACTCTGTAGAACTTTCTTTGGAACTCTGTAGAACTTTCTTTGGGATTCTGTAGAACTTTCTTTGGAACTCTGTAGAACTTTTTTCAGGATTCTGTGGAACTTTCTTTGGAACTCTGTAGAACTTTCTTCAGGATTCTGTGGAACTTTCTTTGGATCTCTAGAACTTTCTTTGGATCTCTGTAGAACTTTCTTCGGAACTCTGTAGAACTTTCTTCGGATCTCTGTAGAACTTTCTTCGGAACTCTGTAGAACTTTCTTCGGATCTCTGTAGAACTTTCTTCGGAACTCTGTAGGACTTTCTTCAGAACTCTGTAGAACTTTCTTCGGATCTCTGTTGAACTTTCTTCAGAACTCTGTAGAACTTTCTTCGGATCTCTGTAGAACTTTCTTCGGAACTCTGTAGAACTTTCTTCAGAACTCTGTAGAACTTTCTTCGGAACTCTGTAGGACTTTCTTCAGAACTCTGTAGAACTTTCTTCGGATCTCTGTTGAACTTTCTTCAGAACTCTGTAGAACTTTCTTCGGATCTCTGTAGAACTTTCTTCGGAACTCTGTAGAACTTTCTTCAGAACTCTGTAGAACTTTCTTCGGAACTCTGTAGAACTTTCTTCGGAACTCTATAGAACTTTTTTGGGATTCTGTAGAACTTTCTTCGGAACTCTATAGAACTTTCTTCAGAACTCTGTAGAACTTTCTTCGGATCTCTGTTGAACTTTCTTCAGAACTCTGTAGAACTTTCTTCGGATCTCTGTAGAACTTTCTTCGGAACTCTGTAGAACTTTCTTCAGAACTCTGTAGAACTTTCTTCGGAACTCTGTAGAACTTTCTTCGGAACTCTATAGAACTTTTTTTGGGATTCTGTAGAACTTTCTTCGGAACTCTATAGAACTTTCTTCAGAACTCTGTAGAACTTTCTTCGGATCTCTGTAGAACTTTCTTCGGAACTCTGTAGAACTTTCTTCAGGATTCTGTAGAACTTTCATCGGAACTCTGTAGAACTTTCTTCGGAACTCTATAGAACTTTTTTTGGGATTCTGTAGAACTTTCTTTGGAATTCTGTGGATGTAGATTCCGTGTGGGTCTGAATGAAAGTGATGCGAATTTTTAAAAAAAAGCAGGTTTACAGAAGTGATGAGAGGTATGATACAAACCGAAATGAGATTTGACTAATCCACTGAGCCGAGTGAAACTGGGAGGATAAATATGAGCTTTGCACTTCAGAATGCTGCATCTCTCATCGCTCTGATGGTCGAAATGACGCGCTGGATTTCAATGGCCATTCTTGTCTTGAGGAGCACCAGTTCATCAAGCGTCGTCTCGATCACTCATGTCACAGGGGCTGCCGGACCGTGAATGTGCTTCACACTGTGTGTGTGTGTGTGTCCCGTATCCGTCATGGTTTTCTTCCATTCCTCACAGTCTGAACTCCTGTCCATCCCTTCGTTCTCTCTTCCGCCCAGGTACACGTTCACTGGCATTTACACGTTCGAGTCGTTGATAAAGATCCTGGCACGGGGCTTCTGCATCGGGCCCTTCACCTTCCTGAGGGACCCGTGGAACTGGCTGGACTTCAGCGTCATTGTTATGGCGTAAGTTATCATTTCCCGCATTTTATCAAATAAATGACCTCTTTGACCCCTCCATATGAAAGTCACCCTAAAAACAAAGAGTTAATTTCACTTGATTCACTATATCATCAAAAAATAGACATTAGCACGTCACTACAATGTTTATTATATGAACTTGTAAATAAAAGTATGGTTAAAAAACTATTTCATAGAATAGTCTTTCAATTTATAGTCAAATTTGTTTCAAAGTAAATGGTACACCGAATGTTTGTCAGTGTATGAGTTTGCTCTGGATTAGACCCTAAAAACATAAAGAACAATATTTTTTTTTAAAAGAGAGAAATTAGTATTTTATTTTATTCAAAGACATCAAAATATAGACATCCAATTTCCAATGTTGTAAATAAAACAAAAGATTATTAAAGTATGTTTAAAATATACTATTTTAGGCACCTCAAAATGTAATGTCCAATTCAATGTTTTTTTTTTCATAGTGTAATTTTACACTGGTTTAGACCCTAAAAACAAAAAGAAATGTTTGTTTTTTTACTATTTTATCTAATTATCGCACTTTAAATGATTATTTAGTAATTTTAGTACGTTGTAAGTAAAAATGATTGGAGTATGTTTTACAGGAGTCTTTCTACATCAAAATTTTACATTTAATTCAATTGACGTTTCATTGAAGTTATTCGTGAAATAACTAAGAAATTCCTACTCTAATTTTTTTTTTCAGTGTTTGACTCTACACTGGATTAGACCCTAAAAATCATTATCATTCAGTTCAATATATCATCTAAAAATAGACTAGATTATGATTTTCCATTACCGTAATAACGACTGGCCGCTGTCGGACGCAGAGCAACAGAGATGATAATGAAACAATAAAAGCTGCTGTTATTATTTTCAATAGCTGTAATAATCCAATCTCAACCGCTTGGCCCGTCAATGATTGAACTGAGGAGGGAAAGGCGTCCTTATTTGTGATTAATTGTTCTGAAGGGTTGCGTGTAGAGGAGCGCGAGCACTTACCCCGTCCTTGACCCGAATCCCAAAACACACGTCGCCATGGCAACTGAGGTGAGCGTGGATGTGGACCGATTCCCGGGAGTCGAGCATCATATCGACATGTCACCGAGTGCCGTTCACATCCAATAATACCATTCTCACCTCAGTTATTGGCTTGTTCACTTAAAAAGAACATTTGAAATCTGAAATATCATGGGGAATAAACTTTTAAAGATGCCTATGCACAGAGAGAAATAGTAAAAGTTATTTTTTAATAATGTTTTTACTTGTTTTTAGTCTTATAGAAGGCTTTAGACTATGGTGTGTATATATGTATATATATATAAATACGCACCATATTCTAAAGCCTTCAATAAGACTATAGTGATCACTACATATTGATAGTGCATATTTTTATGAACATTTATTGTTAAAATAATTTACAAAACTGAAGAAATTAATACTTTTATTCATCAAGGACGCATTAAATTGATCATAAATGCCAGTAAAGACGTTTATAAAGTTACTAAAGATTGTATTTCAAATAAATGCTGTTCTTTTGAACTTTCCGTTCATCAAAAGTCCTGAAACGTAAAAATGTATCACAAAAAATATCACTGATAATAATCAAAAATGTTTCTTGAGCATCAGATCATCATATTAGAGTGATTTCTGGAGGATCACTGGAGTAATGATGCTGAAAATCACAGGAATAAATTACACTCTACTATATATTCACATAGAAATCAGCTGACTTACATTGTAATAATATTTCACAATTTTTACTGTATTTTTGATTAAAAAAATGCAGTGTTGGTGAGCAGAAGAGACTTTAAAAAGTGCTTATTTAGCGAGACGCCTGCGCCTCAGGGTCTCCTGACTCTTGCAGTGATGAAGTGCTGATTTCCCGCTGCTCTTTATGGCTTTATTCCTCAAGCTTTAACAGGCCTGTTGTCCTTGACCCGCGAGTGAGCGACGTCAGATGGACCCTCAGGCTCGACCGCCGCTATAAGTCACGCTCGTATTGGGATGTTGACTTCATTAAACCCAGACGGATGACGGCGAGCGGATAGAGAATAAACTCCAGGTTTCTATAGAAGCAGATCAGCCGTGGTCAAGCGTCGCACGTCAAGCGTAATCATGTTTTAATGTGATATAGTGTAGCTTGAACACCAGCAGCTCAATGTACAGTCATTTAATCAGGTTAATGATCAGAGAGGATTCAATTTGATATGGAAACAACGCCGCCAACGTTACACGACTTCATCCGTCTCTCAAAATCAAGGCAGCGTCTAAATCTGTGCCGACTTAAAGGGACAGTTCACCCAAAAATACAAACTCTGTATCTATATCTAGAATCATTCTTAAATCAGGATAAAGTTACTGGAGAAGCGAAACGACCCAAGATTTTTCTAAAACAATTATTAAAATTAAGGGTTTTTGTTTAAAACTAGAACAAATAGTACGAAAAATTGATTGACCCATTTGATAGGTATTTGCTCTGCAAAATACATTAATTAATATTTATTTCAAAATTAAAGCATCCAAAATAAAACACTTACTACAAAAGATGATTTTATTTTAATTTTAATATTTTATTGTTGATATCAGAGAACTGTAAACATGCAAATTAAATTATTTTAAATTAATACAATTATTTAAAAAAATAAAACGCTTACTACAAAATATGAAATATATATATTTTTTTTTCATTTAAAATTTTTATTATCAGATCAGAGGTCTGTGAACATGCAAATGTGTTTGCAAATATTAATCTTTTAATGTTTTATATTTTTCAAGTTTAGAAATCCCTGAAAGCTTTCTGTGAATTTATGTCGCTATTTAGCTTTTATGGTTGTGTTCGTGAGAACATCATCAATATTCACTTTGATTGTATAGATAATAATAAATCAGAAAAAATGAATAAATTGTGTTCCACAGAAAGAACTAATAAAATAAAAAGATTAAATGCTATTTTTATTTTATTTTATTTTATTGAACAATTCTTTGGGTGAACTATTCCTTCTTTAAACATTTTTTTTTTTCTAAGGGAGTAAAATGTACAACATCACATGAGGTTGTTTCGTTTCCTGACGCTTTAATTTTCTCCCTTTTTTCTGTCTTTCAGTTGTTTGTCCTTTTATCCATATAACTTTGATTCTGCAGGTTTCTAACTGAATTTATAAAAGTAGGCAATCTGCAAGCTCTCCGAACGTTCAGGGTCCTCCGCGCTTTGAAAACTATTTCCGTAATTCCAGGTAAGACGTTCCTGAACCTGTGCGCAAGGAAAACGTTTAGTGTTGCTCTCTGTCCAAGTCTATTAGCAAACAAAAAAAAAACAGATGTAAAAAGCTCAGGAGTTTTCCTGCATCCGGTTCTTCCCGCGCTGTGTTCTCCAGTCACTCACCCCTGAAACTTCCCAGCATTCCTGCTTCATTCTCCGCTGTGTTGTTGTTTGCCTGTTGTTGTGTTGTTGTCATTGTCTGTGCTCCAATTCTCGCTTATTGCAGATATGTTACTGAGTTTGTGGACCTGGGCAATGTCTCAGCGTTACGGACATTCAGGGTTCTGCGAGCACTGAAAACTATCTCAGTCATCCCAGGTGAGAGGCCGACGAACGCCAAGGCCTGCAGTGCTAATGGATGACCCGAGCATTTCCAAAACACTCTTGGAAACATGCAGAATGTACAAAATGAGACTTTTGAGATGGGCATAAACTGAAACCAGCCGCTTCAAGTGGACAAAACTCTCTAAAACCATTGCAAAAAAAATATTTTTTGTTTCGTTTTCCAGTACAAATATCTAAACATTCTTAAAGTCCCCCTGTAGTCAATGATTGTATCCCTTAAAACTCATCTTTGATCGGCAAAATGACATATTTAAGCGTTTTTCATGCCTTAAAATTGCTTGCATGTAACTCGACACCCTTGCCACATTTATTATGCGATCACACGTTGATCTGATTGGGTACAAGGTGGTTTGTGGCGTCAGAAACACCAGCGATTTCAAGCCGTGTTTTTGAGACTGTCTTTGGTTCACTGTAGTTTTAAGGAGGAAAAACTGAATGAATTTACACCCGGTGTGTTTTAAAGCGTATTAAAAACACCACATACAAACATAAAAGCTGGATTTGCACCACAGGGGGGACTTTAAATTAGCCTACATCTCAGTTTTCCAAGCAGCTGCCATAGAGTTCGGTTCTGAAAGTATACAAATTCATCAATTCTCTCCATAAGGAAGTTGATCTGAACTTATAAACCTAATGTGAGCTAAGGGTTTGTGAATCGATGGTATATGCTATTGCACATTATTTCAACTTAATCATATCTAACTGTTAAAAAAAACTACATTACCCATGATACTGTACAGAAACGTCCCATAATCAGAGAGCCAATAGCGGCAAAATAACTCTTAAGCTCCGCCCACTCTGAAAAAGCATGCAAATGATGTAATCGAGTCTGCTGTTAAAATACTTTGATTTTGATTGTTATTTGCAATGATTCATGGGATTGTAGTTCTTTTCCATTTTTTGAGCTTGAAATGATAGTTCCCCCCCAATTACTAGTAATTACTGACAGAGTTTACATTTTGGGGTGAACTATCCCTATGTAAAAACTGCTAACAGAACCGACGCCAGGCCCTGTCGCTCAGTTAAAGCTGTTAACATTAGACGCATTAGAGCGGATTACTTAAGTGAAGTGACACCAGGGTTGCTGGTTGGGGTTACCGTCACCTGTCAGCGCTGGGTTCAGTTAACTCACCCTGAGAGTCTCATTGCACCGTGGTGGTTGACATGTTAAAGGCATGGGTAGATGTAGAGAACATGACTTTGCATGGTGAGCCGATGAGCCGACGCTTCTCATGGAATCAGAAATACAGCTATACACATGAAAGTTAAACACACACACACATAAATATGCTCAGATATTAAATATGCGTTATGCAAAGTGCTGGTTCTGGTGCCACAGAAGCGTCTGTTTTGAACTGTCACATTTTGTGTGCTTCCCGCACCCACAAATGTGTGTGAAGACAGCCCTAGATGTGCCGTGCCGTGCTTGTGGTTTAATGTGTGTGATCGACGTGATCCAGGGTTTGGCAACATTCAGAACGGTGTGAGTTTGATAGAAATTGACAACAAGGTGAATTGGAATTTGATTGAGAGGAAATACTGATTTGCAATCGGAAAAAAAATCAAAACAATCACAAATTAGGTTTTGTAACAGTAATAATTACATTACTTGGTTACACTTTATATTAAGGTTTTGCAGTGTAATTATAATTGTAAGTAGGGCTGTCAAACGATTAATCGCATCCAAAATAAAAGTTTGTGTTTACATAATATATGTGGGTGCACTGTGTATAATTATTTTATATATATATATATATATATATATATAAATACACACACATGCATGTATATATTTAAGCAATATTTTCATGTATATACTGTATACAGATTTATATATAATTTATATTATATATAAATAGAAATATTTTATAAATAATTAATAAATAAATAATATTTGTTTTTTAAAAATACATGCATGTGTGTATATATATATACACAAAATAATTATACACAGTGCACCCACATTTATTATGTAAACACAAACTTTTATTTTGGATGCGATTAGAACAGCCCTAATTAACACATGTACTTACCATAGGATTAGGATTGGGTTTAGGGTTAGTTGCATGTAATTATGCAAACTGTATAAAATTATTAATACATTATTTTCATATTCTAGAGTATTTGCACATTTTTCAACATTTAAAAAAACATATTTTTTTACACTCTTTCAGCTTAATAATTAAAATATGTATAGGTGACATTAAAAATACATCAACAAGGTTTATAGTTATTAAAAATAATGTACAAAAATATTGATTTGATAAATATATATTTCCACATGTTTTCATGTCACCCGCACCAAAAATAATAATTACACATATATTTCAAAGACGGTTCACGCTCACTCCGATTTTGAACGGTGCTCAACCCTGATCTAATGAAATGACAATTGCTTTGAATTGATCAACTACAAATGAAAATAAGCACAAATGAGCACATGATGTCGGCCGGGTCCTCTTCTGATCTGCCGGTGTGTCTCGCTCAGGCCTGAAGACCATCGTCGGCGCGCTCATCCAGTCGGTGAAGAAGCTGGCCGACGTCATGATCCTCACGGTCTTCTGCCTCAGTGTGTTCGCTCTCATCGGCCTGCAGCTCTTCATGGGGAACCTGCGTCAGAAGTGTGTTCGCAGCACCACACACTGTCTCAACACCACCTTACCTTCATACAACAACAGCACTTTCTTCTGCAATAACAAAACCTGGCCCTCGCTGGAGGACTTTAACAATAATGAAGGTCAGTGAAGCTCAAACGTTGACGTCCTCAAGTAGATCATGTGTATCTAAAGCCCGTTCCCCCGTATGACGCTCTCTGTCTCTTCTGTACTGGTATATCTGGACATATCTATAGAAAATACCATCACTAGTGATATACAACTAAGATATCATTCTAATTTGATTAGGAATTAGGCTTAAAGGGGTGGTGTAATGCCCTTTTCACAAGATGTAATACGTCCCCAGAGTGTGTGTGTGAGGTTTTAGCACAAAACACCCCACAGATATTTTTATATATCATGTTAAAATTGTCACTTTTTGAGAGTGAGCAAAAACACACTGTTTTGGTGTCTGTCCCTTTAAATGCAAATGAGCTGCTGCTACTGGTGCAGGGGGCGGAGCTTCAACAGCTTGTGTCCTCACACAGACTGCATGGTTATTTGATGAATGTGTCCTGATAATCTATTAATCGCGTTCCCGGGGGCGGGGTTTATGCAAATTCAAGGGTTGGTGATGTCACCAACTCGTGTAGTTCTACCAGCCGTTTGTTGTAGTCCTTAAAAATCTCCGTTTGCTTTGAACTTTGAGCGTTGTAACTTTGCAGATGTTGTTTATGCTCAAACAGCAACATCACACACTCACTAAAGATAGAAAAGTCAAATTATAATCGCTTACCCCTTTAAAAGAATTAAAAGTAACGTTACGTCGAATCATATAAAACAATCGCTCCGGATCTTTCCTGCACTCGAGACTCGAGACGTGAGCTCCGCTGACAGTCCCTCAGATTGGTTGTTGCTCGTGAAATCCAGTTCTCATTTGCATAAAGTTTAGATGAATGAACTTTGGTCGCGTGTCTCGCGTCGCTTGACATGTTGCCGACGGTAACTGTCACTCGTGACACCAGGAGGTCGCCAGCGCTCCATTGAAACGAATGGGATCATGTGGCTGTGTCGCTGGCGGTGTGAACAGGGTTTGAGTCTGAATGCTCTGCAGAAACAATATCTTTCGTGTGTGGGTGGCGTGTGGCCGAACGGTTGCTAAGGTCTTCTGAGTGGGTTGTAGCATGTTGCTAGGTGGTTTTTTACTGGTCCGAGTCACAAGAGTCCACCTTCAACCCTCTCTGATGTTCTGGAGTCGAGGAAACGCTGCTTTAAAGCGAGATTATAGAGCTGTACAAAACGTTAGTAAAAGTCTCATAACTTTCTAGAAGAAACCATTGAAATATAAAAAAGTTTGTCTTTTCTATAATCCAATTTTGATGTTATTTATTTATTGTAGGCCTGTTTATTAATATTTTGAAGTAGCTTTAATTTTTATAATTTCAGTGTTCAGTAATTTTGATATGCCTTTTTCTTATTTAGTTATTTTTAATTTTAGAAAAAAACTTTAACTAATGTAAATTTTAAGTTTTTCTTAATTTACTTTTTATTATAGCTTTCATTTTGATTTTAATTTAAGATCTAAGTGCTTTTGTCTTATTTATTTATTTTTGATTCTTATTTAGCTATAATTTGTTTCGTTATTTTTAGGGCTGTGCAAAAGTTAATTGCGATTAATCGCATCCAAAATAAAAGTCTGTTTTACATAATATATTTGTGTGTGCTGTATATAATTATTTTGTAGATATAAATACCCATGCATGCATGCATATATTTAAGAATTATTTGCTCTTAAATTCTGTATATATATATAAATACATAATCTATATTATATAAATATAAATATTTTATATAGGAATAACACATTTTCTTAAACATATACATGTATGTGTGTGTATTTATATATACAAAATAATTATATACAACACACACAAATATATATGTAAACACAGACTTTTATTTTGGATGCGATTAATCGCAATTAACTTTTGCACGGCCCTAATTATTTTCCTTCTAGAACTTCGAATTCGAATTCTTTTAAAGATTTTTTTTTTCTTTTTTTTAAATTTTTTTGGTCATACCATTTAAAAGGTAGATTGATCTAGTTAATTACGATAAGTACGTCTTTGACTAAATGGTTAGACGAGTTAAGACTCTTGACATGATGGCTATGTTTATACAACTGTCCCGTGATTACATAATCATACTTGTTTGCTACTTACAATTAGCTTTGATTGAATAAATACTTCAGACATATAGTCAACAAGAGATCACCAGTAGACTAGATGACCTGAATGAACCCTGCAGCCTCTCTCACATTGATCACATATTGTAATATGAAGCATGTTGATCATAATCCTGCAGTTAAATGACGAGAGTCAGAAGATGAGATTCAGTCTTATTTTGGGTTGGTCTCATTTCATTAGAATAGCAATTAGGACAGAGCTGGCACTCGATGAGTTGACCTGCAGAACGCAGATGTAGGACGCAGACAGAAATAGATAAGACTTCTCATGATGTGCTTCGTCATGGTCCAAAACACAGAAGCTAAACATTGAGTTTAAAACACTTCACGAACCACTGCTAATGGAGTTTGAAAGGTCACTACAATGCGAAATATTCATCAAAATCAATCGAGCTTAAAACAAGCAAATATATCGGCCAATAGGGTCAAGAAAATAATCTTAATTCAAGGGGGAAACTAGTTTATTATTCTGACTCCACTGGCTAGTGTTGTCCAAATATTCGGTACTAAGTCGGTACTAAAACGTTTTAAACGTCGCGGTACCAAGTAGTCAAACCTGCTGGTGTGTGTCTGTGTGTATTAAACTGCAAAAACACTATTTAAATATGAACCTTGCATGTTCTGCTTGTCTCTGTGTGAATGAATGGTGCAGATGCGCAGTTTCATTTAACATTACCTCACTGGCGCCCCCGCAGGCGATTATGGAGATTCTCACTTTTGAGCACATTTTTGATTCGCCATAATTTTTTGTAAAAATGTCAATATTTACACAGTTGATTTCTCGCATCAAATGTTCTCAGAAGTGAATTTATTGTCGAAATAGCGAATTACTGTATTGACCTGCCTCTCCTTCCTCGAATGCCAAATTGAATGCTGGGATATTTCTGCCGTCATGTTCACACAAGCTACCAAATGATGCATCTTCGGTAAAATGGGCGTGTCAAGAACACATTTGCAATTTTTAACCGTTCTTGCCAAAATGCAAACTTGTGTATTGGGACAGTACTTGGGCCACAAAAGATGATGATTCACAAGAACACAAGGACTATCGTCATGTCACACACGCACAGAAACTCAAAGGCCTTCGTGGCAACCCGTCAAAATAAAAGTTTGGTTTAACTTAAAGAAATTGACAGAAATAATTATATTAGGCCATTTTGCAATAGATTAACTACATCTCCATTAATTAAAAATACTACTACTACTACTAATGATGTGTGCGCAGAAGGTTGCTTATTTTTCACTTGATTTTTTTTAATAAGCAAAATTTCTCAATATCATCAATATGTTCGTTTAAACAGCATGTAGCCTTCAATGTTTTCATAAATTTAGCATCATAAATAATAAAGTCATTGAATTGATTTTTTCCAAATAGTTAAATAACATAGAAGTGTAAAATTGTAATGGTATCGGGACCGGCTACTGGAACTTTGGTATCTCGATTTATGGATGTTTAGATATTTGTACCGGAAAACCAGACAAAAATACTGAGGAAGAATTTTTTATTTTATTTTATTAATTTAATTATGTTTATAAAAAAATAATCAAGTGATTTATATATAAAAACGTGTAATAATAACATTCTAATAATACATTTTTATTAGGGCTGTGCAAAAGTTAATTGCGATTAATCGCATCCAAAATAAAAGTCTCTGTTTACATAGTATATTTGTGTGTGCTGTATATATAAATGCACACACATGCATGTATGTGTTTAAGAAAATGTGTTATTCCTATATAAAATATTTATATTTGTATAATATAGATTATGTATTTATATATATATATATACAGAATTTAAGCACAAATAATTCTTAAATATATACATGCATGCATAGGTATTTATATATACAAAATAATTATATACAGCACACTCAAATATATTATGTAAAACAGACTTTTATTTTGGATGCGATTAATCGCAATTAACTTTTGCACAGCCCTAATTTTTATTCTTGCTTATTTTGCTCAAGATCAGGATTTATTGAGTCCAGCTCGAGATCTGTCGCTCACACACATGCTGTTCGTTTGAACGATGGTTTCGGGAAACACCGACTCTGATGATGACGACGAAACATGCGACCATAGTTGGCTAACGATGCTTTCAGGAAACACAGCCCTGATGTCTAATCAAAAGCATAAAACACGATATATTCATGCCGATGACCTTGCGCTTCAGGACAGTTAAGGTTATGCCGACAGCTGGACGGGACGATCGGGATTCGGGACGTCTGCCAAACACGAGCGCTAGCGTTTCCGTCGCCGGCGGCTCTCCCGCTCGAGTGATGGAGCGAGCGAGTGAGAGAGAGAGACGGCATGAAAATGACAGCAGATAAAATGGAGGGCTCTGGATGCCAACCTGAGGCTGTTGTTCATGTAATCTCTCAGCCACTCTCTTTAACCGGGGGAACACACACACACACACACACACAGATGAGTTCACCGCTTCTCTTCACAGCCGTGCAAAACAGTGAACATCACAATGTACACATGTATTGATTGCAGCGCTGAGAAGCTTTTCAATCTAACGCAGTTCATCTGAAGTCAAATTGTGTTTTATATATGTAATTACACTCTCAGAAAAAAAAGGTACAAAAGCTGTCACTGGGGCTGTACCTTTTCAAAAGGTAAACTTTTGTCCATTTTAGGTGCAAATATGTACATTTCAGGTGCTAATGTGGACATTTTAGCTACTAATAAGTATATTTTAGGGGTTAATATGTACATTTTAGGTGCTAATAAGTACATTTTAGGGGTTAATATGTACATTTTAGGTGCTAATAAGTACATTTAGGTGCTAATAAGTACATTTTAGGTGTTAATATGTACATTTTAGCTGCTAATAAGTACATTTTAAGGGTTAATATGTACATTTTAGCTACTAATAAGTACATTTTAGGGGTTAATATGTACATTTTAGGTGCTAATAAGTACATTTTAGGGGTTAATATGTACATTTTAGGTGCTAATGTGTACATTTTAGGTGCTGATATGTACATTTTAGCTACTAATAAGTACATTTTAGGGGTTAATATGTACATTTTAGGTGCTAATAAGTACATTTTAGGGGTTAATATGTACATTTTAGGTGCTAATATCTGTACATTTAAGTGTTAATATGTATATTTCAGGAGCTAATATGTCCATTTTAGGTCCTAATATGTACATTTTAGGTACTAATATGTCCATTTTAGGTGCTAAAATGTACCACTAAGGTTCCAATATGCAGCCTTTGGGTACAAAAGTTTACCTTTTGAAAAGGTACAGCCCCAGTGACAGCTTTTGTACCTTTTTTTCTGAGAGTGTATCCAATTATGATATTTATAATTTAGGATTCTGAATCAGAGCGGGATATAAGGGACACTCAAAATATTTGTACTGTATCACACAATACATGTGAAAACTATCGTGAAAAAGTTCATTTATTTCAGTAATTATATACAAATATATTATATAGACTCATTACATGCAAAGTGAGATATTTCTAGCCTTTATATGTGATAATTTTGCTGATTATGGCTTACAGATTATGAAAACCTTTCACAATATTCTAATTTTGACTTTGAGGTTTTCATAAGCTTTAATCCATAATCATCAAAATTATAACATAAATAAAATATCGAAAATATCTCACTTTGCATGTAATGAGTCGATATAATAGTTAGTTTCATCTTTGAGTTTCATCTGTGTATGATATATATATATATATATATAAAACCGAAAACACTGTATTCTTGAGAGATCAATCAGTCATTAAATGTTTTTCTCTTCTTCCAGATAATTACTTCAAAGTGGAAGGAGCCAAAGACGCCTTAATATGTGGGAATGCAAGTGATGCTGGGTAAGTTTAACGTGCTTTGATTGAATTGCATAAGACAGTTTTTTTACCGTGGTATTTTACTTACTTAACGATGGTTGTTGTTAGCTAGTTTTAATTAGTCCTTCTGATGTTTGTTAATGTTTATTTGGTGCTATAATTAGTAGTAAAGAGGAAGAGAGGATTACTCTATGAGTCTATGCCCTATATACTAGCATTGTACACTAATCTGTGGTTCGAACTAAAACTGGCTATATTCGATGATCATGGAAACACATCCCAGAGTTCCCATGTGTTATTAACCCCTAGGTTCATTGTGAACACTTTTGAATGTCCGAACTAGCTTGTGTGTAACAGCTGTTGTAAAAGGGCACAGCGGATCTAAGAGGCAGTCAGTGTCGAGTCGGACTGAAGTAAATATAGTTGTGTCTCTGAAGTGTCTGACTCAGCAGAACTGCATGTACATGTACAGTGTGAGTCAGTGGCCTTGATTAACTCGCATTCAGACGCCAATGAAGCCCGTGAATCAAGAGGAAGGTGTTTGTGTGAACTGCTTTCTTTGTGATATTTCGTTAAATTAACGCACAAAATCGAGTTGTCGGGAAAACTGGGGGACATAGGATGTTTATTTGTTTTAAATGTTGTGACAATTTCTCATTTATGCTCATTAATGTCTGCTTAGTTTTGACTCTTGGAGATGTTGTGAAATGCAAGTACAAAATTTCGGACTATTTTGATGTTCGCCGGTCAATTTGATCCTCAATTTCATGGTTAACCGCAGCGGCACAGATTAAAAAAAGTTAAAAATTGTATGCATTTTTTAAGTCAGTTTCTCAACTACGTTCAGAGGGTGTTTTACATTTACATGCATGCATTTGGGAGATACTTTATCCCACTAAAAATGCACACTGTGGCGTTCACTTATCAGTTCAAGAATATTCATTTCTCAAGATTTTGACATTAATTCAGGAAAGCACACAAAAATAAAACATTTTTTTTATTATATTATAATTTAAAATATTTTTTTAAACATATGGTTAATATAATTGTATTTTTTGCTGTAAGTTGTGAGAAGTATTAATACCTGTTTTTACCAGATTTTTCGTGAATTGTGAATTTGATCCTCTACATAAAAATCGTACCCAGAATTCGGTCATAATACAAGAATGCTGAAAAAAAGGGTTTATCACTCAATTTCACAAACAATCACAAAGAAACTGAATTAAATTGAACATTTTGAAGTAGAAATACTGTACAACACTCCAATAATCTTCGTAACTTTTTATTGTGTAATGTATAATGATATACAAAACCTGTATATGCTCACAGTCCTGAATAAATATAATAATCCCGCTATGATGGACACCTTGCTAGTGTGAATAGCTGAGAGGAATGTCAGCGCATATGTTTGCTAATTGTATATGAGTGTGTGAGTGTGTATGGCAGCTGGCCGTGCATTAAAGCGTCTGGAGGGATTTGTACAGTATGTGCTCACGATCATATCTTGCCTTAATGAGAAACATCGAGTCTTTGTCTGTTCGAAACTCACCAATATTGTGTCTATTTCAGTTGATTTAGCAAGTAAAATGCCTTTTAGGATAATTATACAAGTGTCCAGCTATTAAGTAAACATAATAATAACTTTGATATTGTTAGTAATATTTCAACTGGACTGAAGCATCTTTGGTTTACTTGATTATCTGAAAAATGATCATCAGGCTTTTGAGGAAGGGTTATTAGTTCATCTGTTAAAACTTTTAGCATTTAAATATCGTCTTACTAAGAAATTATTGGCAGTGACGACTGATATTTAAATTATTTCATGTCAGTTCTCATTGCTTTACTGAATTTCTTCTTTTTGTTCATATTAACATCAGCATCTGCACCAAATTGCATATTTTTGCTCAGTTTGAGCCTCTGAATAAAACTGAGCTGTTTTTCCTATATACTCACACTATATAAGCCATGCTAGCTTGACAAAATATAACGCAAAACATTAAAAGCATATGCCGTTGTGTCTTGATTTTTTTTAAAGTTCAATAAACTATTCCATTAATTTTTTTTCTAACTATTATTTAATATGTCAGACTTTAAAGGGTTAAACTGCGGAGGCGTATTGCATTCACTTGAAGAAAAAAAATCTACTCTGTTTTTCTGAATTAACGAGTAAATTTTTCATGGAAATTTTTTTTGCTCTGTTTTTCTGAATTAATGAGTTAATTTTTCATGAGAAAAAAAAATATTTTGCTCTGTTTTTCTGAATTAATGAGTTAATTTTTCATGGAATTTTTAAAAAAAAAATTTCTGAATTAACGAGTTAATTTTTCATGGAATTTTTTTTTTGCTCTGTTTTTCTGAATTAACTCGTTAATTCAATTAACTCGTTAATTCAGAAAAACAGAGCAAAAACTTTTTTTCTCACGAAAAATTAACTCATTAATTCAGAAAAACAGCAAAAAAAATTCTCATGAAAAATTAACTCATTAATTCAGAAAAACAGAGCAAAAACTTTTTTTCTCATGAAAAATTTACTCATTAATTAAGAAAAACAGAGCAAAAAAAAATTTCTCATGAAAAATTAACTCATTAATTCAGAAAAACAGAGAACACATTTTTTTCTCATGAAAAATTTACTCGTTAATTCAGAAAAACAGAGTAGATTTTTTTTCTTCAAGTGAATGCAATACGCCTCCGTATTAAATACCTAAAAATTGCATTAAATAAAGAATAAAAAGAAAACAATAGTCAGACTTTAATGGACCTTAAAGTTATTATAAAGTCATCATGTCATCATATAAAGATAACATGATATTTCAAAATCCAGGGCATTTTTGCAGTGGGGTAATTAATTTTTATAGTCCCCCCCCCCCCCCCAGACTTAATATCGCCGCCGGATGCTTCTAGGATTTCACTTTCTGCGTGATTCTGTTCTGTTTGGAAAGTCCATCCTCTGTCGCCGGTGTCCACGAGTATCAAATGGATAAAACATTATCTTAAAAGCGAGTGCTAATCGATAGCATGATATTTCAAAATCCAGGGCATTTTTGCAGTGGGAAATGTGAAGGATGTTCTGGAAAGTGCACGTTGTCCTGTGAAGGTCTCGCCGTCTAATGGGCCGCCGGTGTGAGTTACGACGCGGCCTGTAGATGTTGATCGTAACATCTGGCCGAAGCCACAAACAGACAAAGGACAAACCCGTCTGTCTCCCGCAGTGATAAAGGCCTCCAGCAAACGCCTGTCCACCTCTGATAAAAGCCCTTGGAAACGGAGAGGTGTTTGTCTGGGTGTAAAACACACCTGTTACACAGATTGCGGTTTACGAGAGTCCAAAACAGGAGATTCATCAGTGTTCACAAGCTCGGTCAATCTAGTTACGCTAATCATTTAAGAGAAGCAGTTACTTGCCAAAATTAGCCTATTATGTTCCCATAATCTGCTCATAAGTCATATATTTAGAAAGCCAACACTTGAGTTTACAGTTCAAGACTCAGAATGAATGACTATTATTAATATAGATATTTATTAGCTCAAACATTAAGAAATGTATAAAAATATTATGTGAATGTAGTGTAAGTCGAAGCCACAAGTGTGGTAATGCTTCATTTCAGATCTGAGGATGATATCTCAAAAACTCTACATTTTATAAAACGTTTTCTATGATCATGTCAAGTGAGTTTTTACAGAAAGCTGAATAAAATCTGCTCTTTAAACACACATTTGCAGTGTATCGTGTAACGAATGGCGAGGCGAACCTTTCACACTTCTGCCGTGAATGAGACTTAATCTTCATTATCGCTATTCTTTTGTTTGTATTCAGCCATTATTAGCTTTTATTCTGGCTTTATATGGCTTGCCTATAAACACTGTAAACTTTAAAGTATTCTTGGGACTTTGGACTAAATACAACCAGTATGTCATTTTTTTACTCAGTACATGTATTTAAAAATTCAAGATAAATAAAAAAAAAATCTTAAATCTCACTTAAATCAAGATACATTTACTGGCTAAAGATATTAAGTGACACAAAAGTAAGTGAGTTTAAGCTTAAAAAAAATCAAAAGTTAAATTCAAAGGAAAATGAGTTTAATTTTAGCAGATATTTGTTATTGTTTTAAACAAAAAGTTGCTTAATTTTTATAGTTTTCCCCCCAGAATTAATATCGCAAGTAATTTTGCTTGATTTGACCGTAAAAATGTTTAGATATTTGTCCTGGAAAATAAGACAAAAATGCTCATTAGAAAATGTACAGATGTGAAGACGTTATAGTTGCAATTGATCCGTGTGGGGAATTTGAAGTATTCAAGTTTTTACACACATTTTTACAACAAAGAACAGCCAAAATACCAAAAACCAAAAAAGTGCCTTGGAGTAGCAAAGCAGTATCAGACTCAAATATAAAATAGTAAAACAGAAGTGACAAAACAGTATCAGACTCAAATATGAAATGGAAAGAATCACAAATGGCAAAAACTCTATAAAAAAATAATTAAACCAATAATTAAACCAATAAAAAAATAGTTAAACCAACCAGTTTTGATTAAAAGATTCAGTTTTTGAGCTAGTTCATCTACATAAACCATCGGAACGAACTGAAATCACATACACTGTAGACTACATTTGGTTTAAAACGTACGTTATTGTGACCGTTCTCACTGTAAAAAAATATTGATGGTTTAACTTAAAAAAGTAAGTAACCTGGTTGCCTTAAAATTTTAAATTCATTGAACTGGAAAAAGTGAGTTAATACAATGAAGGAGATTAATTTAACCATCAGAAACTCAAAATTATATGTTATCTGAACTAAATAAATTATTTAAGTTGATTTGACAGAAGAAAAAATGTTGTGATTACTACACTGCAAAAAAATTTTTGTTTGTTTAACTTAAAAAAGTAAGTAACCTGGGTTGCCTTAAAATTTTAAGTTGATTGAACTGGAAAAAGTGAGTTAATATGAAGGAGATTAATTTAACCATCAGAAACTCAAAATAATAAGTTATCTCAACTAAATAAATTATTATAAAGT